TCGACTGACCAGAAGAATTAGCGACAAGATTTAAGCATGCACTGCATGTAGGGGTTAATTGGATTGTTACAAATATGAAAGACAGATAATCGCTACAATTTTTATAAAAGTAACTCTTTTTAATTTGTTTTAACACCAAACCAAACATTCTGTCAACAATAATTATAGTATTTTTAGATAGAGATTTTTTTCTTCCTACATTTTGATTAAATAGACCGTTTCTAAGAAAAATGTAGAAAACTAAATTTATTTAAAATACAGGGTGCTTCACACAACTTTACGAGGCTTGCGCCTAATGTACGCACCCAAATATACAAAAGTCACAAAACACTATACATACAAAAAATACACATTTAATTATTTTATTTTGTACTCAATGTTAAAGAGTGCTTTTATCAACTAATTTCAGTAAATAAAGTAGTCTTTTATCGTCTAGTGAAATAAAGTAATTATTATCTACTGTTTATATTTTATCAACCAATTTCTGTAGATAAAGTAGTCTTTTATCGTCTTGTGAAATAAAGTAATTTTTATCTATACTGTTTATATTCAAGAAATTCTGGTAGGTGAGTACAAAATAAAACGAAATATTATACACGACGATAAAGATTGTTTATCTACTCGTGAAAAAAGTCCACTCGTGACTTCGTCACTCGTAAACTTAACCTTTTCACTCGTAGATAAACAATTTCTTTATCGTCTTGTATAATAATATCACACAAAAAATGTCATTGTTATATTTTTTTGTAAATTATAAAAAGTCTAAAATCTTTTAATATTCAATTCTAAATTTTCAAAAAGCAGAAAATCGTTGTGAAGAATTTGTAGACCGTTCACGAGTCGGTTGTTTAAATTACTAATAATAATAATTAAAAATACAATTGATAATAAATAAAGTTACACATTTTCATAGCTATCAATGACTGATTTCGCTAAATCAAAATCAATGAACACAAGCTCAGTTTTTTATTCAATTTTACACAAAAACAGTGTATTTATTTATCATTTTAAAAACCAAAAATCTTTTAATTTAGATTAGGTGTGTGTGATTTTATCGCTCACAAAACAAGCGGGTTGCTCTTAGAGTAATACCGTAACCAAATAGGTAAAATCGATCTGTTTCTAAAATACATATTTGTAAATTTATTAAAATCCCTTCCGAAGAAAAAATGATGCAATGTTTTTTCAACGAAAATTGAATGTTGACAAAAGAAATTGGGAATTTAACATGACTTTTTCAGAATTTTTACAGTTTTTAGTATTTTTAGTATACCTCAAAAAACTAATTCTAGGACATCATTTTACCAAATTGTGAAATATAATTAGGTATGTTTTTTTTTTGAATGGTAAGTAATTGATTTTGTGTTTACATACATACATAAAACATGTGTATACATAAGAATGCAATTCATTTGGTGATAAATCTACTATACTTTAAGAACACATTTATTTTATTCTAAACACGAAACAAGGTTTTTAGTATCTAATTATAATTTTTATTCTTAATTTAATTTTAATATGATGCAGTGCAATTTGTAATAAAGTCTTTTCTAAAAGATTTTTTTGGTGCATAACTGAAAAATAAATTCTAAAAAAGTTGTTTCAAAAAATGTAGAACAATTATGCATTTTTTAACAAAATTCGAGTGATATTAAATTTTTTCAACAATCTTATAAATACAATCTCGATAAATTGAACTAATGCAACAATGTTTTTCAATTTAACATTTTTTTGAACGATTAATTCTAATTATTTTTTTGTAAGAATAAAGAAAGAATGCTTATATTAAATGTTTATTCTAATAAAACATACATAAAGTTACACAAAAATCATTTAAAAACATACGAATCTGATGTACTAAATCTAAAACAAAAAGAAAAATTTTTTGTACTTAAAAATTACTTGTAAAAATTTAGTTATTTCTCTTATAATTTCCTTGATAGAAGGGTATTTTTAGCTCTATGTCAAAGAAATCATGTAACAAAGCTTTTTTATTTTTCTTGGAATATTCGAATTGCAGAAGTCAAAAATCCAATTTCTATTCGGATTATTGAAGCAAGAAGGTGCTTCGGCTTACTGATGTATTTGGATAATCGAGATTTTATCCAAAGATTTTTGTTCCACTTCGACAGTAATTAAAAAAATCAAGTAAAAATAAGTACAAAAATCTATTTTTAAGATTAAGTTTATTTATTTGCCAATTGTGGAGTGCGTAGAAAAAAGCGATAATTTCGTCGGCGAGTGTATAATAAACAATCGAGCCGTCAAATCGGTGCCTAGTTGATTTAAAAACAATCCCAATTTGTAAGCGTGTAATTTGTCTGTAAATTACCCCAAATAGGCGTTAAATAACTGTATTTATCGTCCGATGACTGCCTCCACTAATAATAATAACCCGATGTGGCTCGGTAGCGAGGCCGAGCCACAAACAGTCAAATCATCCTGGGCTGCGATCTTCAGATGTTCGAAACCATTGTTAACCGTTCACATTTCAAAGCCTCCTTGTGTTCTCATCAGTGGATGCATTCAAGTGTCAGTCAGTTTGCCACTAGAACATTTTAGAAAGATTAACACCTCATATTTTATTGTCATAGCTTGTACCGCTTTATAATGATACTTGTTATCTACTTATGAGGGTTGGGCATTTTATTTTTGTTGATCGAGGCGAGTCTTTATTCTCCTCGAATTTAACGCCAATATATGTTTGCTCTTCAAATATTGTTCCAGTGATTAATTTCAGGAGGCATTCCTGAAAAATGCGGTCAAGTCGCGATAAGGCACCGACGATATCAATCAATCGTTCACCCTCTGCTACATTACCGAGACAATTATTGGATTAAAAGCCATTCCATTTTCACACAAGCTATTCTTCATAAAGCGTCCATCAATCGTCGCGGCGCTCCTGATGTTTGGGACGCACGCGATTCCAGCCAACTTAATGTAATTATGCAAATATAATCATTACAAATAGCCTTTCGTTCTTTAGCGATTTGAGCACTCGTTCGACTTGACATGATGCGATTAAAAAATTTACTTTTCCAACGTAAGATAAACATGACTAATCCACACGTCGATGAACTTCAACAACTGTTTATTCGCTCAATATTGACTTATCTTGCCAATTTACTCAAATAAATTCCTTAATAAATACCATGAGATCATTTAAAAAATAAATTAAAGCAGGCGGGTTTTTTTTTATACGATTGCCCAGAATGCCAATTGACTGATTGAATAAATTTGAGGTTGTGGTTAACTTTGTGACGTTTGTGGATCTGATATTCAATCGTTTTAATTTAAAGGAAATGAAAACACTGAAACGAATGCGTTTTTATTGCGAATTACATAAAATGTTCAAAGTGTTCCCCCCCAGCTGCAATACAATTGTTAACCCTCCGTTTCATATTTTCAAATGCATTTTCCAATATCTCAGGGGTTWCAGCGTTACATGTATTAGAAATTGCCTCTTGCAGTTCTTCAAGGTTGTGCGGGTTATTTTTAAAAACGGTGTTTTTGAGATATGGGAAAATGAAATAATCTAGAATTGTCAGGTCCGGACTTCGAGCCGGAAATTGAATAACTCGATCATCATAAAACTCGTGAATTCGACCCATAGTTTCCCTTGTCTTGTGAGCTGTTGCATTGTCCTGTTGGAAGTACCCATGTCGAATTTC